CCCAAGAGTCTTCTCCAACACCACAGTTCAAAAGCATCAATTCTTCGGCACTCAGCTTTCTTCATAGTCCAACTCTTACAGCCATACATGACCACTGGAAAAACACTTCCTGCTAGCTACTGACAAATACTAATCCTTTTACTGTCTCCATGAAGTGAAGTGAATTCGCACAGTTGTGTCCAACTCGTAGCGACCCCATGGACTGCAGTCTACCAGGCTCCTCCATCCATGGGGTTTTCCAGGCAAGAGTACTGGAGTGGGTTGCCATTTCCTTCTCTATACTGTCTCCATAGTTTTGCCTTTTCCAAAGTGCTATATAGTTGAAATTATATGGTATGTAACCTTTTCAGATTGACTTCTTTCACTTAGTCATATACACTTAAACTTCTTCATATCCTTTCATGGCTTGATATTTCATTTCTTTTTGTCCCTGAATAATATTCCAGTTAACATTATATACTACAGTTGATTTTGGAGAAGGAAATGGCAACTCACTTCTTGTGTGGAGAATCCCTGGACAGAGGAGCCTGGCAGGCTACAGTCCATGGGGTTGCAAGAGTTGGACACAACTTAGCAACTAAACCAACCAACCATTTATTTATCCATTCACCAGGTGAAGGACATCTTGGGCGCTTCCAAGTTTTGGCAATTGTGAGTAAATTGCTCTTAACATTGATGTGCAGATTTTTGTGTGAACATGTTTTCAACTACTTTGGCTAGATGTCAAGTAGTAGATTTGCTGAATTGAATGGTAAGGTATGTTTAGTTTTGTGAGAGATCGCCACTGTCTTCCCAAATGGCTGTACCACTTGCATTCCATCAGCAGTGGATGAGAGTTCCTGTTGCTCCACATCTTCATCAGCGTTTGGTATTGTCCGTGGTTTCGGATTTTGGCCCTTCTAACCAGTGTGCACTGGTATCTTGTTTTAATTTGCAATTCCTTAATGGCACGTGATGTTGAGAATCTTTTCATATGCTTATTTGCCAACTCTATATTTTCCTTGGTGAGATGTCTGTTCAGGTCTTTGCCCACTTTTAAATTGAGTCATCCTTTTCTTATTGTTGAGTTTTAAGAGTTCTTTATATATTTTGGAACCATTGGCATTTTAATTTGAATGATCATTCTCTTAAGTGCCTGAACAAAGGCTTTATTGAGAACTCATTCTTCTAGGCTGCTGCTGCTGCTGCTAAGTCGCTTCAGTCGTGTCTGACTCTGTGCGACCCCATAGATGGCAACCCACCAGGCTCCCCCATCCCTGGGATTCTCCAGGCAAGAACACTGGAGTGGGTTGCCATTTCCTTCTCCAATGCATGAAAGTAAAAAGTGAAAGTGAAGTTGCTCACTCATGTCCGACTCTTCGCGACCCCATGGACTGCAGCCTACCAGGCTCCTCCATCCATGGGATATTCCATGCAAGAGTACTGGAGTAGGGTGCCTTCTAGGCTGCAAGACAGGAAAAACCTTTTTTCTCACTTCTTGGAAGGAAATAGAGGAAAATTACTATATTCACCTGAAAAAAATATAAAAGATGTTCTGTAGAATTACCTTGATTCAAAAAGAATTTCTGGCTGCCTCTTAGATATACTGTGACTTCATAGGCCTTCCATGCTGTAAATCTTTCCCTAGAAAATTAGCTTATACCTTGTATTTCTTGATGATTGCCTTATAAGTAGTGGGAAATGCCTGCTCATCACAGCCTTGCATTTCTTCTGTGTCTTTCTTAGATGTGTGTGAATTAACAACGGCCTATGCTGTCATCAGCTGTCATGATAGTATACCTGTTAACAAATCACCCCAACTTCCAGACCTGGCCTACATCATTTGGTAAAAAATAGTCACTAATGCCATAGGAGAAAAATATATCCCATTGTAAGTGAAGGTGGTTTTATATTGTCTGATTTCCATTCTTTACCCCTTCACTGTGCGTCAATAGATTTATATCATAGCATTCATTTTCATTTTATGCCTTTATTTACGCACCAGTTCTTTTGCAAGTAATTTTAATTCTCCCTTTTATGAGAGTGAGGCTCTGTGTCTGTGTACTTCTATATAAAATAAAGGAAATGATTGTTTTTAATGCAGAATTGAAAGAAATATAATGGATTTCAGCTACAACAATTTCTCCCCATTTAGAAAGATGAACACCTAGTTAGATGAAGAACGTCATTCCTAGTATAATTTGAATACATCCTGTTTCCATGACAACTTGTACTTACCAGCTTGCCTGGCAAAAGAAGTGTTTGGATCCTTTCTTTGATAAAAGATTTGACCAAACACTGGAGTTCCATTTTCTTTTTTAATTCCAATAATTTCATTCCAGTTTGGGGCTGTTTTTCTTTTGAACACAGGCTGCTTTTGAGTGAAAGAAACCTAAAAGGCATTTTGGAGTAGCATCACCTTCAAAATAAAAGGAGGGGAGTCACAGGCCAAATGCTAATAAGCATGGGAAATGAAGATATTTTTGCAAATCATAATTATTTTCTCATATCTTTCAGTTAAATTAAATAAACAGAGATGATGCAACAAGTTATTAAGATGCTATTTGATTTGATAGAGAATGATTCGGTTATTCATTTCCATCTGGACATTATAATCATTAGGCTTGTTTCCTCACTGCTAATGTATGTCTTGCCCTTATGGGTGATTTGTGCCCTCTTACAACTAAATTTTGATTCTTGCAAGGAGTATGGTCTTATTAATGGTTTTCCTTCAGAAGAAAGATAGGAAATTATTTGCATCATTAACTCTGCTTTTGCAAAATATGAAAAAAAAATGCTACAGTGTTTTGTTGACAAGATTATGTTTCATGCAGTATAAAAGATGACTCTTGGGCATTTTATGATGATAGAGAATGATAGAGAATCAACTCAAAGTTAGAATAATCTGGAGTTTAGTTCTGAGGGTTCTGGAAGGTTTTGAAAGGAGAAACCTTATTCTTAATGATCTCCAAGATCATTGTCAGTGATAGTGAACATTTATGACACAAGACATACATGCAAGGTGATCTATGGGGTACCATGTTGATTGTAACTCCACTAGGGACCAAATTTTGTAACAGACTTTGTGTAAATAATATGTGCATATCCTTCACTTCCCAGGAAAAGACACTATCTTATCATAAAAACTAAAGAAAATTTTAAAGAAATACCACAATATACACATTAGTATTAGGTACATAATATGTATCAAATGAAAGTCAATAAGAAAGAAGTATAAAAAATTGACAGTATCTTTCTGTTTTGGGAGCATGGAATTCCTGCTCATGATAAGAGATTAAGTAACTGCAAGATGTCATTAGCCTAAAATGTTGTTCAAAAGCATCTTCATGATTCCTAATGTAGCACTTTGCATGGTAGTTATTGTTCTGAAAAATTGATGCAATTACAGATTTTTTTAAAGGAAAACAAATAATGTAGTTTCATTTCAGAAATTGCTTTATTTTCCTTTCCTAATCACCCATTAGTTGATAATAGCTTTTCAAATTTTAGACTACTCAGCTCTTAAGTAGTAAATGACATAAAATATTTCATGAATGTTTTAATCATACAGGGATTCATCATCCCACTATTTATTAAGGACCTGCTACGTTAGCCACCTGTTTTGTGAAGACCACAGAGGGGGACTTTCCACCCTCAAGGAACTTAGGTTAATAAGGAAAGTGAGGTTATCAGTGATCTTTTGTTCGGGGAAGGTTGTTTTTTAAAAATATGTATATTTATTTATTTTATGTATTTGGCTGCACTAGGTCTTAGTTGTGCTACACGGGATCTTTTTAGTTCCAGCATGCCAGATCTTTGCTTGTGGCATTCAAACTCTTAGTTGAGGCATGTGGTATCTACTTTCCTGACCAGGGCTTGAGCCTGGGCTTCCTGCAATGAGGGTGTGGCATCTTAGCCACTGGACTACCAAGGAAGTTACCAGGTGGTCATTTGATAACATGGCTTATCATCGTCTAATAGTTTGCTGAGGAAGTTGATGTTTTCTATATCAGAATTTCTTAAGCCATGAAACAATGCAGTTATTTAAGTTTAAACATAAAGCTTTGGAAAGCACAGTGCCCTTCCTCAGAATACTGGCTTGCGAAATGTTCCACTAGTGATACCTGAGCCATAACTGAAAGCTCAAAACCAAATCTTACCCGTAAAGCAGTTAGCTTCTTAGCTGTGAAGATACGACCAGCAATAAACTCCCACTCTACCCACAGTTGTCAGCTGGCCATGGGGAGTGAAAGCCTCCAGGATGGACATGGAAAGCCATGTGCCACTGTGCGTGCTCCGTGGGTGTGCTCTTGGCACGATCAACCTCACAGGTTTGCCTGGGACTGAGGAGGGATTTTTCAGGACTTTCAGCGTTACAGTCCTGAGAGTCTCAGGCAGACCAAGACAGTTACTTGCTCTCTACAGTCTTCTGTAAGTCTCTAAAGTGCAAAGGAGAATACCCATGTTCACACAGCACAGAGGACGGAGGGCTCTCCCCGCCAGGAATAAGGAAATAACACCCAGCACTCGTGGAGCATTTTATGGCTATGCAGGGCCTCACCTCCAGACAGCACTGTGAAGCAGGTCCTGGTGGGGAGTCATTTTTTACATGAACAAAAAGAAGCAAAGATCTTGCATGTCCCAAATCACATAGCAATGAAGGGTGGGCTCAGACACACACTTCAGTATCTTCCTCAGCTCACATCACCTCTCTACTGTCCACCTTTTTCTCTCCTTTAAAAACGTCCAAAAATACAGCAGAAACCAGCACTGCACTGGAAAGCAATTCTCCTCCAATTAAAAATAAATTTAAAATACTTTTCAAAGACCAAGTGGAGGCCTACTGGACTTCCTCTTCAGGTCCAGTTTCTGATCTGAGCCATCCTCACCTCTCTGGTTGATTGATTGGCCTGGTAGAGCATTAATAACTACTCTTTGATAAGGAGCCAGTGATTTGCAGAGTATATTTATTGTAGGGAGGGGAGGACACATAACGAAGGCAAGCCTTGGTAACAGTTGAAATGCCCAACAGTAGGAGTTGCTGGTTTGAATCATGGTTCTTCCAATCTGTGAACTACGGTGGGGCCCCCACAAAAGTCCTTAGTCTGAATTCTCAGAGTGGTCCCAGAACTGGTATTTCTGAAGTGAGTGAGACTTTCTTCCTAACCAAGGAAAAACATGGTTACTTCCCAGTTTTCCAGCTGTCAGGGCAAGAGGATTCCAGAGGAAAGGAGTTTGGGCACCTGCTCAGATGCGCCTCTGCAACTCTGGATCTCCTGCCCCTTTCTGGAGTGTGTGTGGTGGCTGATCCCCTGCAATGAAACATGCTCTGGCCCTTGAAAGAGGGTTAGACAGTTTGGAAGGACCGGGAAGAGGAAAGATCTCAGGCCAAAGTGCAGAGATGTGAGTGTACACAGTGTGTTCGCTGGGTGGGGAGTAGACAAATCACTGATGTCACAGCTTGAATCTTCCACGTGCCGTACTATGAGGGGTCATAGGCCTGCCCATGGGAGCGCGTGTCATGGCAAAAGGGAGGACACTCCAAGGGGAAGAGCATGTGTCCAACTATGTATATTTCCAAACACACTTCATATATAGTCCTCTGTTTCCACATATATGTAAATATAGGCATATATACCACATAACCATATATATTTGGAAATATAGTTGCAGATGCATTTGGAAAGGTGGGTTGGGTGGAAAGGATTTCAAATGCTACCCTGGAGATCTCTGACCTCAGCTTGTTAGAGACAGCCATTTAGCCATTTGCCCAGGCTTTTGAGGAAAGGAAAAGGAAGAAGGTGCTATTTTGGAAGACTAACCTGCCATCCACACAAAGGATGCACTGAGGACAGAGAGCATTCTAGAAACTGGGAGATGAATTCATAGACTGTTGTTTTCAGGCAGTAGCTGCTGTGTACCCAGTTCATGTACTTACCGGATGTTGATGACGTGTTGTCCACGTGGCCGACACTGGGCTGGGCAGTAGGGCACAGCGGTGAAGACGAGGGGCCTGGCCATCTGGGGCCGGATATTACGGTGTGGGAAGCAGTAGATCAGTGCGGCTGGGACACATGCTGGCAGGAAATGATCAGGGAGGAGGACTTGCTCTAGCGTGGGAGGCTGGGGAAGAAGGGGCGGAGGGGCTGAAGTGGAGGCGCAGGAGAGAAGCCAGCAGGGGCCGATGCCTCCCAGCTGCAGAGAAGCTCTGGGGAAGGGGAGAGCACAGGCGTGGACAAGCAGGAAGGATCCTGAAGTTCCCGAGCCCTGGTGGCCACCGGGTCTGAGCTTTCCCTGGAGAGCCAGCAGTGGAGCATTTAGGCCTGGTCAGATGGGTGTTTCAGGACAGTTGCTCAGGGTGCTTCCCGCTGTGGGTTGGAGGACCCTGGAAGCAGGGAGGGCAGTGTGCTCAGCTTGCCCAGGGCAGGTGCTACCCCTGGGAATAAAGAGAGAAGACCCATACAAGGGTGGGAAGAACAAAACAAGGACTCTGGGGCTGATGAGTGGATAGAGAGGTGGATGGTGAGACAACACAACCTCAGTGCCACAATTCCCAGGCTCAGTGACTGGGAGGACTTCTGTCTCCTCACTGCAGAGGCTTTAATAAGTGCTCTTCCCCTTGCCCCTCTCTCTTCCACTTGCAACCCTGAACCAGACCTTCCGGCATCTTTCCGATTCTAGATGAGTAACAATGCTTTTTCCATGTGCAACTTGCAAGGTGCTTTAGATGTGTTTTCTCATCTATGCCTCAGAGCAGCAACCAGAGGGAGCGCTGTTGTTACCTCTTTGTGAATGTGGAGCTCAGCAAGGTGAATAAAAGTTCCCAGGTCACACATCTTCCACAGGGCAGGATCCTGGTTAACACAGGATTCGTTCTCATTAAAGCAGTCACTCTTACGCCACACGACAGCCTCCCCCGAGAACCCCAGTGTCACACCCGGAGGCGTTTCTGGTCTTTTCCCCCTCTCCAGCCTTGCCCTGGGATGGACCAGCTGCAGCCCTTGCCTTCACTGGAAGCGTCCTTTGGGGTCTGAGCCTCTACCGGTCATTTATCTGCAGAGTTGAGGTCTGCCATCTAGTGGCCACTGCCCTCCTTTTTTTCTTCCGTGCTTCTATAAGAAGGGAAGACGGGAGTTTCCACATACAAGACAGGCCTGCATATTTATAGCATCACACCCTGTAAACAGGAAACTTCGCAGTCTTAAGAGAAGGAGCCTAGTAACATAAACATAGCACATTGCCAGTGAGTTTCTGCATCCATTCAGCACTTAAACAGATATATGTGTATATATAGATATAATAATATATCCATTCCATTGGAAAGTGTGCTTCCTGAGACAGGGATTTCTTTTGTCTGCATTGCTCACTAACAAATCTCAAGAGCCTAGAACAGTGGTGTTTGTATGGCAGACATGCAACAAATATTTACTGATAAAGTGGAATAAATGAATACTTAACATGTACTGCATCTTTACCCTATACCGGGCACTTGACGTGTACATTTTCTCGTTTAATCCTAGTGACAACTTGAGAGGTAGGGACCATCAGTATGCCCACTCCTCAGATGTAGAGCCCGAGGTGCTGAGGGCTAAGAAGCTTTCCAGGTTTGGGGAAAGCTGGCGTTTGATTCAGGTGTTCTTACTTTAGAGGCCCGTGCAGAGTGCCCTTCGTGTGCCAGGCCTCGTGTGCAGCATTGCCACCATCCAGACATGTGGTAGAAGTACCATCCAGGGACCACTTGCTGTCCCCCTGCCATGTTTTGTCTTTACTGAGTGAAGCTCCCCTTTCCGCGGTGCTGTGACAAGAATAAATGGCATTCAGGAAAGGCTGACTGACCAACAGTGAGTCCCTGTCCCTAGCTAGCTCGGTGGCTGAGTCACCTTGCCCCAAACCGCAGTTCCCATGTTGGTAAAAAGGAGGAGACTGAGTTTGGAACCCTGCCTTCCCTTCTAGCTCCAACATTCTACTGTTCCTGTGACTCCCAGGGAGCTGGATTGAGTGGAAGAGAGAGGACCACTTGTTACTAGGCAACCAGTACCCACCTCACCCATGTTGCCATGGTGATGATGAAAGTTGGGCTGATGGGATTACCAGCTCCTGTTAATTGCATATGAGAGCTCAAGGTCTCTCTTTCCTGCTTGCTCTCTCCATCTTACTTTCTTATTCTTCTGGGAACTGGGGAGAGATCTCCTTTCCTTCATCTGCAGTGTCCCTGAGGCAGCCATAGTGCAATGGAAAGCAACTAGAAATGGAGCCTGGCTGGGCCTCTGAGTAGCTGTGTGACCTTGGGCAGGTTCCTCAGCGTCTCTGGGCCACCACTGCCCTATTTGGGAAATGAAGGTGTTGGAATAGTGGTCCCTGTCTAGGGCTCTTCCTGGCTCTCAAATCCTTTGATGCCTAGGGAACATGTCAGGGGAGCAGACCACGCTGTTACTAGGCAACCAGCAGGCACCCTGCCCAAGTTGCCTTGGTGACTGGATGCTGGAAGGGAGGGGAATAGCTGCTGCAGCTAATTGCTTAATTATTTATGAGTGCCTCAAGTCTTTTTGTTGTTTTCGTTGCTAGGGGCTGTGGGGTCACCTTCTCTTCCTTCCTCCTGCCACCCCAAGCTATCTGAGTGGCGTGCTACGCAGTGGGAGAGCACGTTGGCCTGGACCTCAAGCTACTCACGTTCTAGTCCTGCCTCTGTCCCTTCCTAGAGCTGTGGCCTCGGGTAAGTTCCCTCACCTCTCTGGGCCTCAGTTTCCTCATTTGTAAAATGATGGGCGTGCGTAGATAGTCTCCAAGTTCCCTTTTTACCCTGAAACTGGAATTCCTGTGGTCCAGTTGCAAAGTGGGAAGGATCGGGGGAATTTTCCTCACTGATTATCTCCTGAGTATTATTCTGAAGGGAAATGGTTAAGAAATGGTTAACCATTCTCTGAATAGAAATGGTTAGCAGTGGCTAAGTATCTTACACATTTCTAACAGGGAGTGAAAGCAATGCCCATTGTCCTCTGCTTGCTTCTCCCCTTGGTCACATCACCAGACTTCTTTAGTAATCTTAAGGTGATTTAAATTTTATATTTTTTGTAGATCGCCTACTTCCAAGATGCACATGTGCAACTGGATCATTAAAAATAGGAGTAACTCAATATAAAAATAGTGATGCTTTTTCATTGGTTACTATTGAAGTTTTGATTGAACATCAGATGTAATTTTGAGCATCCTGGAAGCCAAAGCAAAAAGAGGAAGGTGTATAATTGATAATAAAATTGCCAGACTGTTCCTAGTTCTAAATTCTGAAAGGTGTATATTTAGAGGTGTATTTAGAGGTGTAATTTAGAGGTGTATATTCTTTTTTAGAAACTGCAGATGAAACTTTTAAAATATCTCTTTCTTGCTGAGAGTACTGTTACAGGACATAAGGAAGAAACCAAACTTGACAGTTTGAATAGTTCTAATCATCAGCAAGCAAAAACTGTCTTTCAACCAATACCTTAGAATTTTATATAAAATTTGAAGATGTCACTAAGGAAATATAAAAGTTTGGAATCTGCCAGTATTTACAAATCATTTATATATAAATGTATGTAACCATTTTGCACATTAATTTAGTAATGTGTATCAAAATTTTAGATGCAGGCAAAAATTCTACTTCTCCAAACTTATTCTGAAATAAACTGGTGGAGATAAGGAAAGACATTAAGTATAAAAATGCTTATGGTAGCATTATTTATCAAAGAAAATGACTGCAAACCAAATAAATCTTGAGTGTTAGTGAATTAAATTGTATTACTTCTTTAGAATGGATTACTTTGCAGTGCTTAAAATGAAGTAGATTTATATGTTTTGATATGAAAGTCTTCAAACATGTTAAGTAAGATCAGGAGATGCAGCAGTGGTATAAAGTGCATCTATTTCTTTATAAAAGATATAGGTAGGTGTACCATATATATATCTAGATATATGCTTTTATGTGCATACTTGCATTTTTCCAGAAGGAAACTATAAACAGGGGCTTCCTCTGGGTAACAGTATTGATAGCCTTGGGAGGGAGGGAGGCTTACTATTCACTCTTATTTTTATTATGTGGACCTGTTAGTTTTCCAGTTAGAGAGGCAGTAGATACTGGCAGTCAGGAGCTAGATTCTAGAGTCGGAATACCTATGTTCAAATCCTGGCTCTCTCACTTTTTAGCTGGATGACCTTGGGGTTAATTTAATTTCTAATTTCTCATCCGTTGAATGTGCTAATAATAGTACCTTCCTCATTGGATTTTGTGAGGATTAAATGAGTTAGTAACTGTAAAGTGCACAGAATAGCTTAAACAATGCCATATGTGCATTTTCTTGGGAAAAAAAATAATAAAAGAAGGTATGAAACAGCAACAAAAAAAGTGCATCTAACCCAAAAGGCAGGCCTGGCATGCTGCGATTCATGGGGTTGCAAAGAGTCGGACACGACTGAGCAACTGAATTGAACTGAACTGAACCTATAAGGCCCTTGTATGTTAGAGTTGGAAGGACTTTTAAATATGTTGCTGCTTTGTATAAAAATTGTGTTCAAAGGCTAGCAAAGCAACATTCTTTCATTGTTGTCATTTTACCTGAACTTAAATACCTTTTAGGAAACGCACCTACCCTGGGATTCATACCAGGTGTTTGCAATGCCTGTGAAGCCCATGAACTCATCTGCTTTTGCAGCTCCTGTTGTGGTGCATCCAGAGACGCTCAAGCTAAGAGCAGGATGTAGGCTAGGCCATGTCGAGTATCTTTGAGGAGATGGAGCTCTACATCCACAGCTGGTCAAGGCCAGAGAGGGACCGTCCAGAAATTCAAACTCCAGGAGGGCGTCCATGGCCCTGCCAGTTAGGACGTGTGTTCACATGGCCGCCTGCCTTTCCGTTTCTTTTGAGAGAGAGACTGATGGACACCTGGTAAGGGGTTGCACTTGCAGGACCCCTCTTTGGGTTCAGGAATTTTCCTCTGTATTCAGCGGTGCAGAAAGCCGAGGGCTATGTTCCAAACTGCCCCGTTTCTTCCTCCGTTCCTCCTGGGTGCTTTGGGGCAAGTGTGGAGAACCTGGACTGATTCTGGGCACCCTCGTTTACAGTTGGTCACGCTTGGGCACACGGTGACCCCTTCAAATCCACTGTGTTAGGAAATGGGCGACACTGACCTGTGACCACTTTACACCCGGATTAGTGGTCCAGGTTCTGACTGTCTGAATTTCTTTCTCAACTCTTGCACCCTCCAGCCTCTGTTCATTTGGCCAGCGGTTCCGCAGGCATCTGTCTGTCACATCCAACCGTGCTTCCATCTGCCCTTCCATCCCTCCACCCCTCCTCCAAGCATCTGCCAGCCTTCCCACCGTCCTTCAGACTGCTGGTTTGTTTGTCCTCACCTCCTCCCCTCCCGCAATATGGGTCCGTCTCCATCCACTGGACCATCCATCCATCCATTCCTTCATCTTTCTGTAGCCCACTCTTTCGTCTCGCCCGTCTCCCGTCAGGCTGCGGAATTCACTGACTGACCCTCTGTTCCCCCGCCCCGTATCCTGGAATCGGTGCCCGCCGCCGCCCCGCCCTCCCTCCGACCCGCGCGTCCGTCGGTCCCCGCACGCGGAGTCGGTGCCTGCAGGAATCCGCCGCCGCCTCGCGTGGGCCGTGCTGTTGTCCGGCGGCCCCCGGCGGTCCCGTGGCGCGGCTCCGGGCCGGGCGGGCGAAGGGCCGGGCCGGGGCGGGGCGCGCGCGGGGCGGGGCGGAGCGGCCGCGGCGGGGCGGGAGGGGGCCGGGGTGACTCAGCCGCCGCTCGGCCCGCGGTCCGCGCGTCCGCCGGCCTCACAGGCGGGGCGGAGAAAATGGCGATGCCCCCGGCCGCCGCGCCCCCCGCCGGCGCCCGGGAGCCGCCGGGGCCCCGCGCTGCCGACCCTGCCGCCGCGCCGCCGATCGGCCTGCAGCAGCTGTCGGCGCTGCGGCCCGAGCCGGGCGGGGTCCCGCTGCACTCGCCCTGGACCTTCTGGCTCGACAGGTGAGGGGGCGCGGGGCCCTCCGCCGCCGCCGCCGCCGCCGCGCGCCCGCCCGGCCGGCGCCGCCGCTTTGTCTCGGCGCCCGCCCGGGCCGGGTGCGCCGGGGCCGCCGACCCCGCGCCTACCCCCGCGCCCGGCACCCGGCCCCGCCGCGCGAGCTCACTTAGATCCAGCTCTGGAGCCCAGGTTTGGGCCGGCGCGAGCCGCCGTCGGGCGTCCTAGGCCAGGAGAAGAAACACGCAGTCCCGAAAGTTTCGGTAGCACTTTCCCCTTTTATTTCCTTCCGAAGAAGCAGTGCCGGCGGGCGGGCATCCCGGCTGGGCGGTGGGAGATGCCGGGCCTGGCGGGGGTGCTCTGTAAAGTGGGGAGACTGGTGCTGTGCTGGCGACGCCCACGGGGCTCCTGGGGAGCTCCGGACGCGACCCTCGGCCACAGCGCTCGGGAGAGTTGGCCAGCCCCTGGGAAGTGTGCGGCGGTGGTGTTCCTGTGGCACAGCGGACGCCTGCCCCCCTGCCCACCGATGCTGCCTGGCACACTTCTTTGAATTCTTTCTCATTCACTGGGCAGCTGTTTCTTGAGCACTTACTGAGGACCGATCCACACGCTTCCGAGCGGCTGGGGCTTCAGCGGTGAGCCCTGCCTCACTTTGTCAGTAGAGTGCAGACGATGGCAGCTTCCTCAGCGTAACAGCTCAAGAACCTTCTCAGAAATGCCTACCTGACTCTCACATCGAAATTAACACTCCTCCTCATTCCAATCACTTCTTGGTCTTCATAATGTTTGTAATGCTGTCGAGTTGTGTTGTGTAGGAGACTGTTTATTTTCAAACTATCTCAGTCTCACAACACTTTCCCCCTCTGTTCGGGGCCAGTGAGCAGGAACTCGGTGCTTGACGCCTAGTAGGAGCACGAGAAATTTCTGACAAATGAAATAAATGGATGAATTGCAAAGACCCGTCTTAGTATCTGTCACTCATGTGGTGCCCAAGGCTGACACTTAAAGATTGTCCAAGAGCTTAGGGAAGTTTTGATGACACTGTGTCTCCTGTGGTTAAGTATTAGGAAGGCCCCGATGTGACAGTTTTCTGTGCAAGTTACTCAGTAGACACAAATCTGGTTTCTAAAAGCCTTGCGTAGAAGACGTGCAAGACTTTTTAAAAATGATGTTCATGTTTTCTTAGGAAGACAGGCTCATTCCTTTATTCCTGTTGGAATTAGCACCCCTCTATAAGAATTAACAGTTTGAAGTCATTGTCTCTTTCTGGAACACAGAAAAGTTAGGGGGTGGGGAAGATACAGTGAGTCTTTTTTTTTTAATGTTTTCACTTTCATTATGAGATGCTGAAAGAACGTCTTACTGTCATAACAAGAATGGTTTTGGCAAACTGTAGCAGAGTGAAATCATATGAGTCTTTGTTTTCAAAAGTGTGTTATGCTGTTGTTACCTGGTATCTGTTTTCAAGATGTTAAACCTGGATTTCTGGTCTGCAATGGAGACTGTGGACTGCTGGAAAGAGTATCAAGAGAGTTTGTTTATAAACATGCACAACATTTTTAAGACCATTAATCTTACATAGCAACACAACTTTTAAAGAATATCTGTTACCCTTTTTTTAATGAAGTATAGTCAATGTACAATACTATTACAGTGTACAATATAGTGATCATAATTTTTAAAAGTTATACTCCATTTGTAGTTATTATAAGACAGTGGCTTTATTTCCTATGTTGTACAATGTAGCTTTATAGCTTAATCCAACTTCTAAACAATATCTGTTACCTTTTAAGATGAGAATATGGTGATTTCAGTGAAGACAGACTACAGCTTTTCTGATGTGTATTTGCACATTTGTGTTCTCTGAAAGTCAGTAATCAAGTGAAATATGTTGTTGCCCCCATATCCAAATCTGTAATAGTAGTGGCTATATTCATTTAGACATTATATTTAGTTCCAGCACTGCCCATCTGAATTCCTTTTGCCTGATCAGTCATCCCATAGGTTTTATTGAACTTTCTCTACTTCTCTGGAGATGTAGAGTGCCTCTCTTCCCCTTGAGGTTGTGAACACATTATGTTCTAGAGATTCCCACATACCTTTTCCCCCCAGAGAAACAAGATTATAGAGAGGGTGGTAAGGCTCTCCAGAGAGCCCTCCACTGCACCCTTCTCCCCAGATAGCTGATGTATGCGCTGATGAGATCAGTCTCGAGATCCACACCATCCAAAGGTCTCCTGCTACTTACAAGTCTACTTAATTGGCACCTACCTCCTGGCCTGTCCTACCTTTCAGCCTGCTGTGTAGTGATGAACGAATGACCTAGCCTCCCTAGGGCCTCACCTGTGTTGTGTGTGAAATGAGGATGAATAATCATAGGATACATTAGAGAGGGATGTTCGGTGGGTTACATGAGTGCTATGAGTGTAAAACACCAGCATTATTATCCAGTGCTCCCTAATTAACCACCCATCCCCCATCAGTGATCCTCAGGGCTGCTTGTCTGATTTCAGTGTTAGGAAGCCAGCGTCCTAATTTATTCCCCTCATGGATGGATTTGAGAGTTCCCCACCCCCACCCCTGCCCCCATGGTGTTATTTGCAGTTCTAGTAGTAAACTCCAGTAGGTTCTTCTTTAAATAGACTGTATGGCTAAAGATTCAAACATTTGGGGGATAATTTTGGCTAGGGATATAAGATGAAGAATTTTCCTCCCCTTTTCTGGGAATGTGAAACTCTGTCTTGTCTCGATTCTTGGAGGCCATACTCAGCTGTGCGCCTCTGACTGCTTTGTTTTCACCTCATGTTGACCCCTCCCCCACCTCCTCTGAGCTTTATCTGCAGTCCTCAGTGCTCAGGCCTCTTCTTGTTCCCATGTACACCAGTGATCTCATCCAGTCACAAGGCTTTGGGCTCCATCTGGACCACTGGTGATTCCCAAGACCCTACACTGGTGCATTCAACTCCTCCTCTCCGTCCCCATGTGGATGTCTGATACACATCCCAGCTCGACACGTGCCAAACTGCTTCTTCAGCTGCCCTCCTCATCTTGCCTCCTTGGACTGAGTTTTAGCTCAAATCAGAGCAGTTAACAGCAACCCATCCTTTCAGTTGTTCATCCCGCCCTTACAATCTTAGAGTCACATGACTCTTTTCTCTTCCTCCTTATCTCCCCACTTTCTTTGTTGCCTTCCACATCCTCCTCCTCCCCACTGCATCCATTATCAACAAGTGCTATTGATTCTGCCCTCAAAATATATCTAGAATCCACTGTATTCTCACCACCTGCATCCCAGACCCTGTATCACACCACGTCTGTCCCTTGGGTGAAGCAGAGAGCATCCACACTGCTCTTCCTGCTTCTGCTCTGGCCTCACACAGTTCCTTCCCATCATAGCAGCCAAAGCAGTTCCTTCAAATACTGCTCCCCAGTTGTCTCAGTTGTCTCAAGCAAAAGCCAGAGTGCTTATCACAGCCCTTGAGACTGAAGCATCTCCCGCCCCGCTTAGGACACCTTTCACCTATCTCTCTGCTGCTCTCTCTCCTGCACGTGCCCTTCTAGCTCGCTGGCTTCCTGGCTCTTTCTCCATCATTGCAAGCCTGGGCCTTTGCCACTGAGGGGTCTTCCTGCTGGGCTGCTCTACCCTCAGTCACATCTGCTAGGTCTGCCCTTTGCTTCCCTCTAGTTTCTGCTTCAGTGTCATCTCAGCAAGGCCTGCCTTGATCACTGATAGAAGATGATGCACACCTCCTGACTCCCGCCCCAGGCCCCTGCCTCGCCTTTATTGTCTCTGTAGGATTAGCATTGCTTGTCTGTCTTCTCTCACCAGAGTGTATGCTTCCCAGGGTTCCTTTCCCCACTGTGCTATCCTCGACTCCTAGTTCAGAGCCTGGGACAGCCTGGGTTAGCCCGCACTAAACATTTAGGCGTTGCACTCAATATGCCTGCAAATTTGTAAAACTCAGCAGTGGCCACAGGACTGGAAAAGGTCAGTTTTCATTCCAGTCCCAAAGAAAGGCAATGCCAAAGAATGTTCAGATTACCGCACAATTGCACTCATCTTACAAGCTAGCAAAGTAATACTTAAAATTCTCCAAGCCAGGCTTCAACAGTACTTGAGCCTTGAACTTCCAGATGTTCAATCTGGGTTTAGAAAAGGCAGAGGAACCAGAGATCAAATTGCCAACATCCACTGGATCATAGAAAAAGCGAGAGAATTCCAGAAAAAACATATACTTCTGCTTCATTGACTATGCTAAAACCTTTGACTGTGTGGATCACAACAAACTGTGGAAAATTCTTCAAGAGATGGGAAAACCAGGCCACCGTATCTGCCTACTGAGAAATCTGTATGCAGGTCAATCACAACAGTTACAACCAGACATGGAACAATGGACTGGTTCCAAATTGAGAAGGGAGTAAGTCAACGTTGTATGTTGTCACCCTGCTTATTTAACTTATATGCAGAGTACATCTTGCGAAATGCTGGACTGGATGAAGCACAAGCTGGAGTCAGGATTGCCGGAAGAAATATCAACAACCTCAGATACGCAGATGATACCACCCTTATGGCAGAAAGCGAAGAGGAACTAAAGAACCTCTTGATGAAAGTGAAAGAGGAGAGTGAAAAAGTTGGCTTAAAATTCAGCATTCAAAAAACGAAGATCATGGCATGTGGTCCCATCACTTCATGGCAAATAGATGGGGAAACAGTGGAAACATTGAGAGACTTTATTTTGTTTTGCGGGGCTCCAAAATCACTGCAGATGGTGACTGCAGCCATGAAATTAAAAGATGCTTGCTCCTTGAAAGAAAAGCTATGACCAACCTAGACAGCATATTAAAAAGCAGAGAGATTACTTTGCCAGCAAAGGTTTATCTAGTCAAAGCTATGATTTTTCTAGTAGACATGTATGGATGTGAGAGCTGGACTATAAAGCAAGCTGAGTGCTGAAGAATTGATGCTTTTGAACTGTGATGTTTGAGAAGACTCCTGAGAGTCCCTTGG